CCATTCCTATGGATTTGGTGATAGAGACTAAAATAGTTTAAGACTAGAGCTCCGTTGAATTCACCAGTATTGTGGTTTGAAGGGCTGAGCAGGAGCCGTTGCTATGTCTCTCTCCGACAGCAGTTTCAGCTTCTGAAAAAATAGTTGGAATACTCTTTTAGTTTCTCCATAAATCAGCCTTTGTGGTTCCCTACTTTAGCCGATTATCAACTGCTAATAGAGATGCGTATTTTTTTCTATGTTACCGTGATGTATTGTGGGGGATCGTCGAAACTCGTGGAGCCTAGAACCACTTCTCTCCTCAAACTGCTTGTCATCTTGTGGCAAACTCGGAGCTGCAGCAAAACAAAAGTCATGCTCACAGTGCTTTGACAAAAGCAACATGAGGTAGGATTTGTTTATATATGTATACCTCGGATCGAGTTGCCCCACCAATAATGAATACAAAGATGCGTTGCCCCAGCTTCTTCAAGTCCGTAGAAGCACTTTTCAACACTGAGTCACTACTGTGTGTGAAGACAGATATGCAATACTCTTAGAACACCAAGCTCCTCAAAAATAGAAATCAAAATGTAAAAACAGAATATGCTTAGAGTGCGTGCCTGGAATATCCATCGTCAGAAGAATGGGGACGTGCCCAAGTTGCAGTCCGTCTCGATCTCATCGAATGAGGGGTGGCTTTTCGTTCTGGAACTGACGTAGGAGCAGCGCTCTTCCTCACTGATCCTGTTCGAGCTTCACTCTCCTCCTTGTGACTTGATTGGTTCATACATAGATAGTCGCTTTTAGATAGATCGCCTTTCACGAGTTTCTCAAGTAACTCCTGCAACAACAAAGATTTTATCTCAGCCACCATGATTGCAAAGTCAATATGTAACTGATAAGAGGGGTGGTCATATACCTCGATCATGGGATAAAAGCGGAACAACTGCCATGTTTCTTCTTCACCAGACCGATCTTTCCTGTTTGCTTGTTTTGTCTATGCCAAAAGAGTAGTCAGATTTTTCCATTCCGTCTTCCTGGTGGCTAACGTAGATATTCATAAATAATTTGAATATAACTCCCATCTTTAATTTACCTTTCCAGCGTCAAATTTGAGGGAGAAACTACCGAATTTAGTCTTGCTTTCTGGAGATCCAGCTATCAATTGCATGTTGCTTATAACCTTCATATCCACGGGCGATAATCTAGCAAGCTGATAAGATATATGCATTATTTAGCAAGCTACTCCATGCATTAGAAGGGGCTCTCTATCACACACCAAAAATACCTGCATTAGCTTTACGCCCTTGTCACCTTCGAACTTCTCTGGGTACACTGTTGCATAAATCATCAATAGTCGCAATTTGTTTTCTGGGTTTGTGTCCTGCATTTATGTGTCATGTCAAACCCATAGATCATTTCAGCTATTGGATTTCTTATCTTCTTCCAACCATTTCACCTGATTTATCCTCAGAAAATTGATAACGTCCTTGGCACCTGCGTCTCCAAAAACGAGATCTTGTTCCAGCTGCCCAAGATCCCGAAGTCCTGTGTCTCTGATTATTCTGTTAATTTTTCCAGCTAGCTGAATTTTGTTAAAAGAAAGTGTTAACAACCACATCTATCGAAAAGCTCTGTTTGCATCAATTTTATGGTGAGACAAACCTCTACATGAGTGGATAGTTTGTCAACTTGTTCTCCATATTGAGGCAAAGCCTGAACTATTTTCTGCAGATCACGCGTAGACAACTCGCTACCGTCTCTGCATCACATTAGGCTCATATTCACTAATACATATAGCAAGTCATTGTGAAACAATACATATTATGCAACCAGATCACATAACACAAAAAAACTAAATTTCTTTTAAGATAAAAACTTCTGTAACTGTTCCATAAAACTGGTTGTTACAGCTATTTGCAAATATATAAATTTAGGAAGATAGATTTTAAGCACTGACTTTGATCTCATCTGTGCAGCTTTGTTCTTTGAGGCAAAGTTGGTCATTTTCTCATGCAAACGCTCGCTAGCCTAATCATAAAGCAAAAAGATGGTATCAACATGGTGAGCTATTCAGGATTAGAAAAATGTTCATATTTGTGTTATACATCTGCTATATGTGTGTGTCGAAGCTCAAGCCACACTGGATCATGATCTTCAAGCACTATCTCTTTTTTCTCCGGAGGCCCACCAGTTTTACTGGGAACCTAGCAGCATACGGTAGAAAATTTGAGAAGAGCGAAATAGAAAAAAAGTAAAAGTGAGGCCACAAGGACTAAAACGAAAACTAGACATACCTCGATAACATGTTTATTCCCCTCCATATCAAGCAAATCATGGCACATAGCATCATAAGTCCATTCATGTATGATAGGAGCGATCTACAGTTACATTTGACTCTAATCAGAAATAAAGTATCAATATGAACTTCAAAGAGTATTTGTATTAGATGAGTCTTAAAACCTGATCCACTGATCTATCCACAATGAGCAGCTCACATGTTTCGGTCTGGGGAAAGTTGGGAATGGCTTTATATTTTGAGATACATTCCCAAATAGCAGCAGCAAGCTTTGACGGAACCAAGTCCCGCGGTTCTGTGGACTTAGCAGCTCGATACCGAACAAAGGGTAGTTCCTAAGAACACACAATAAGATAATAAAGAACAGAGACATCTGGGCAATGCTTGAGTATCTTACAAGACCGTATATTATTAATTTGGCTCAGGGAGTCCATATGTCCAATGAAAGCACCAAATTATAAAGTCCTTGTGACTGTAAAAGGAAGACGCAGTAGCTCTCCCTTTAAGGAGTTACGAAGAAAGTATTTACCTTCAATGAAGCAAAGACTGTAGCAATTCTAGTTGCCATCATATTCAAACAAATATTAAAATGGCGTGAATTCTCAGCATCTTCAGCATAGAGCGTTTCCAATGCTTGCCCATGATCAGTTAGAAATCCCTGGGTAAAGTTAAGATCATCAGCGGAAAAAAACTCTGCATAGTATTTTCCTTTTTGAGGAAAACCATAATTGTTACATCCAATGGTTCAAAATCCAACTTGAAGATGTCTAAGCTACTGCAACAAGAACTAAAGAATAGTAGGTACCTGATTATCTATGGGGAAGTACTCCATGTTCAACTGCAGGAAGGTAGTAAGAATTCACGAACATCAGAATTTGGTAACTAGAGAAACTGCTATAAGAGCACGGAAAGTGAAGTGGCATTTACCTCTCTTAATGCACCAATGCGTGGCAATACACTTGAGTCGCTTTTGATGTGGTTGACCAACTCTTTGGGGATAGTTGAACTGAAAAATATATATGCCCTGAAAAAAAAAAACAGAATGGTAAAGTGAAAACAGAAATGTGCAAAGAGAGAAAAAGCTGATTAGAAAACTAATCGTCTTACTTCCTGTACAAAGGTTCCCTCCCAGACATGTCTGATAGAAACATAACAATGCTGCGAGAGAGCAAGATAAAACATGAGTCTTAGGGACTCCTTAGTGGAAGCAAAAATGTAAAAAAGGAAGGGTGTAAGTAGGAGGTACTTCTCTTTGGATGGTTGGATAAAGTAGATAGCGTCCATGCCAGGCATTGGTTCCCTTCTCTTAAAAAGTTCTTCTACCACTGAGCCAGATGACACATATAAAAGTAGTTCCGGTGGTCAGATTGTACCAACAGAACGCAAGAAGATGAGGATAGAAATGGAATTCAGGATGATTTCTTTCTTACGGGAAATCCCTTGATCTGTGATATCTGCCATCTTGCAAGACTGAGACATAACTTTTACAGTAACTCTATCCATGATAAGTATCTGCAGCTCCAAAACAAAGAAATACATTTTTGTTTGTTGGCATTTGGCAATGTAGTGTGATTAAAGAATCCTAAAGTAGAGGTAGAGAGAGAAGAAGAAAAACACCTTCCAGGCTTTTGAATCCCCGGTTTTGGTAGACCCAAGCATCTCATGTAGCAACCCTGAAACGATAAACGAACCCTTAGCCTCCTCACAGCAACAACAACAATGTAGAATTCGTAAGGAAAACATAAAAAGATGGATTACGCTCGCGGCTAATCTGACGGAAGAACTTATAGTCTCCGCCGTCGCGGGCATGAGAGGTTGAAGACTCTGAATCGGAGAAAGACATTGATCGGAAAGGAGATGAAGAGAGACGATTGATTGATTTCATCATCAT